CTTCACTGCGCATTAGATTAGTCTAATGCACAATAAAGAATCTTGAGTAGATGCACCCAGCTGGGATGAAAGGTATGCTCCAATGTAGATTTATGCAGTAGTATATGGGTGACTTCTACTGGTATAGCTAGATAGGACACCTTTACAACAGTGAAAATGTATCCACCCTAGGGGATCCTAGGCTGTAATATAACTGTTGTATAGACACAACAGCTAATGCTTCTAAAAAACCGTTTAGTTAGTACACAGCGTAGAAATGGTTTAAGCGTGTTAACCTGTTAGCTGGCCACAAACTCCTGATCAGTACTTGGTAAGTGATACTGCCTAACTTAAAAACAAAAAGCACAGTATAGATAAGGCCTACAGTGTTGAAATGGAGGAAATCTGTGAAGGTTACATTGCAAGGAAGATAAGAAAACAATTTGCATGCAACAATTTGCATCCTCTGAGGTTCATGTTTTGCACGCTGCCTTACCTCAAGGTGAAGAAAGCAGCAGTGAATTTGGGGTTATCCAGCATGCTGGGACCAACATTTTTGGTAGGCATGCCACAAATTAGCCCTGCACCCATGTGCTTGATCTGCTCTGCTTTCTAACCTGTGCTTCTTACCTGATCTCCCTGTTCTGTCTTCTGCTTCCTGCCCTGTCTGCAGCTGTGCTGCCTGTCCCCTCCTTGGTTACTTGTCTGAGCCACACATTGCCCAACCTTTTGGGAAATTGTTGCAGCCAGTCTGAAGCCCCTGGGGTAAATGGTCAGTTGACTGAACAGCTAAGGTAGGTCTCCCCCAACTTTACAGTTGATCCAACAAAAGATCATGCCAAAAAACTGGCTTCTCTCATTTGTTTGGACCATTGCTGTAACAACAGCACTCCAGCCCTACTAAGTGCCCAATTAGTCATTTTTAGACATTTAAAATTAGTTTCCTTTGGGCTAAGGCAGCAAACACTTCTGAGGACTCTTCAAGCAAATGGCAACTTCCAGTCCTCAACTATTTTGGCTACTAGGTAGTTCAGACAATATTACAAAAGTTTCTACTGGAAAAGGTGTTGTTTTAAATCTTTCCACACATTAATCTTTCTTTCTCTTTCTTTTTTCACTCACATACTGAAATCCCTCTTGGATAGATTAAGACTGGAAAATCTCAGCCAGAAGGATTTTTTTTTTTTTTTGAGAGGCGGGTGGGAGGTTACTTTTTAACTGTCTAAATAATGCATCTCAAGTTACCAATTCTTATTTTAAAGCAACAATTGCTGCTGATGATCTTCTTTTTTAGGGGCCCTGTCCTTTATCCACATATGTATACCAAAATCCCATTGCCATCTGGCTGCAGCTCTGCTTCAGTGCTGCTAATTTTGCTCTACCATACAATACTGTAGTCTCATTTTATTTTGGAAATGAGTTGGTCAGAAAGTTAAATGCATCCAAACAACTCAATATCTTGATATTTATAATCCTACAGGCTTTGATATCCAAAGTAAAAATTATGCTGTTGGTGCACACATGCATTTGGTTTCCTGTGCAAGTAATAGCCAAATGACTCATAACCTAAAAAAGATTGTTTCTCAGTCTATCCAAGCAGTTTTGACAAAGACATTCTTACAAAGATCCAAGGAGAAAGAAATAGTAAATGCAAGGTGTAGACAGCTTTTACTGACACCAAAGTCAGTCAGATGGTGAGAAATAAATGATGAATAATGAAAATAATCTTTGTATTTGTTTTGTGATTTTTTTTAGATGATAGATCATTTTTGTGATATGATCACTACAGCCACTTTTAAAAATACTGTATGTTGGCCTTTCTAAGAGAAGTCTAAATTTTTATGGAGTTGAGATTTGGAAAACACCACTGTCAGTGCTGTTATCCCAAAAGTAGGCTACATTAGTACCATATTGGCTTGACCTATAGACCTGGAAAGATGCATATATTTAATATGTTAAAGGAAAAGTGGATTTAGGACCTTTTTTAACATTTATTTAGTGCTAACACCATAGGGAAGGTATTGATGTTTGGCAAAAGAAAGGCTCTTTTTAAGCATTAATTTTATACAGGAATTAAATGGAACCCAAGTCAATGGCCACAAATGTCCATGCTGAAAAATAAACAAACACATACTTTACCTACAAGTTCTGCACTTAAATTTCAGGTATACTTCTCCCTGGTGTTAGCCTGAACAAGAATGTGAACATACTTAAAATGGATATTCTAACTACATTACCATTGTCTCCTTAGTTGTTTACTTCACAGGTCTTTGTTGCTGAATCTCTGTGCTAAAGTGAAGTGGGATAATAAGAATCTAAACTTAAAGCAGCTCTGTATTAGCAGGCCACTAACTTAATCATGTTTCTGTGTGTAAAACCTATTAACACACAGTCATTGCACACAACTACCACCTGCAAGTGCAATGATGAAATCCTTCTATCTGCCTATGCACGAGTAGAGGTGCTTACAGAATGCATGTCCAAGTAATGGTGTATAAAAATTATGCTTACCTGACAGACAGGCTTCTCTAAGACCGTAGAACAGACAGGATTTTTCCATAAGAACAGACCACTAGCACAAACTCTGGAAGCTGCCTGCACACTAGTTACGTTATCAGTATGTGGTCTGCAGGCTTTTGGGGGAGAAAAGTTGCAAACTTCACTACATTCCAGGATGAGACTCTACTCCATTAATCTTCTTTAATGGGTTTGACAAATGGCTATCCATGGATATCCCATTTAGAACTGCATAAGCTTCTGACAACCTCTCTGAATATAAGCCTTGAGTGAAGTGTCTGCCATAGTGCTACGTGATCATTTTAATTTCTCCAGGGATTGTACCTCGAAGTACAAGTACTGAGAACTGTAGGAGGGCAGAGGCCCATCTGCATGTGTGTGGGTGGATTAAAAGACTCTTCTGGGCAGGATTTTCTGAAGATGTGATGCTTTTGTAAATAGAGCTTCAGGCAAAGATATCCAGATCCAAAATTATATTTTTGAAGGTCTCTCAAAACTGCTCTTCTCTTCCCCCTCCCTCTGCCCCTGCTTCTTTAAAATTATTTCCCAAACACTTTCATGGATTCATACATTCCTGGGTTAAGATGCATTCTCATTTACCTCCGCAAAGCCTGAAATTTACTGTTCTATCCTCTCTCGTTGCATTTCAAGCATAACTATGAATACCCTCATTCCTATGGAACAGGCACTTAAAAACCCTCTTCAACCCTATTCTGACATTCTGATGTTTCAGTCTGAAGGCTGGCTTTTAATGCTAGACACATTTTTGCAATTCAGATTGTTCCGGACACAGCTTCCTGGCCTAGCAGTGTGCTCTTTCCTTGTTCTGTAACTTTGCTTATGAGAAAAATAGCTTAAAGTATTTTCAGGGACAAGTAAAGCTATGATAGGTAGATGAGTATTATGTAGCATCATGCATTTGTGAACCTGTGTTTCTTATTTTGGTAAAAGCTCATTTATGAGTTGAATTCATAGTGTGGTGTTCATACATTCAGCTTCTGCAGTGAACTCGGGAATTTGGCTCCCAAGGGCTGATTGGAAAGACTCAGTCTATGAACAGGCACCCTCCCGTAGAGGGAGGGCTCACTGCACCTATTCGTTCAGTATCTGTGTTGAGGTTTTTTGTTTTTCAAACTGAGTAAAAGCAGTAGTAATTCTTTAGGAAGGATGTAGTTTTGAACATCAGTGCCTCTGTCCTTTTACTTGGGGAATTGTTGTTATAAATCTAAATAATAATATCCTACTCTGTCCAGAAAAGCTGAACCATAGGTCACAAATCTAAATCTGCTTGAGCTGGTTCTAGGCCCTACGGAGTGGCTGTCCCTATGAAAGAATTCAGGTTTCTTACTGTTTCTGATCAAGGGTGCCACTAGATGAGATTACGTAACTAGTTCTGGTGTTGCAGAGGAAAAAAAGCAAATGCACTGTTCATCAGTACCCTTCAGTTTTTTTCATTTAACAGTGTTTTCCCCATTTCTCCCCTCAGATTAATATTTTGCATTTATTCCGTACTTTGAACAGCATAGAATCTAAGACCTGCTGTTGTCTTACTGAAAAGGGAATCTTGGGTTTAAAACTCTTTGATTTAATGACTAACTAGTTCAGAAAACTTCCAGCAAACTTAATTTGCTTCACTAGTAAATCTAGTGAAACCTAGGGTGACACACACCTGGTTACGCTCAGTTAATAATATTATTTCATTGTCCTGTTCTAGTGGAGGTGAGAATGATGAAGACTTTGACCAAGACTGGAAGCCTCCAGAAAATGAGCTCATCCAGAAGTTAATAGAACAAATTGAGTATTACTTTTCAGATGAGAACCTTGAGAAAGATGCCTTCCTCTTAAAACACGTGAGAAGAAATAAGATGGGCTATGTCAGTGTTAAACTACTTACTTCTTTCAAAAAGGTAGGTTGGGTTTTGTTTTTGGTTTTGTTTTTTTTAATACCTCTTTCTATTCAGTTCAGAGAAGGGTAGGAAAAACTTTCTAGTTAATGAAGACAGGTGCTTTTCTGGGTGATATATCTTATGGATCAGCTGTGTGATTGGGATAGACAAGCTCTAGAATGCAATACATTTTTGAGCTATAGAAGTTTTGACACTCTGCTTATGCCAGTGTTAAGGGTTGATGCTATTTAATAGTCAGCCTTCAGTTAAAGCTTTCCTTGCATATAGTCTCTTCATGACTCATCTAAGAAATCATGTGGGTTCATGTAGGTCTAGGGCAGGGGTGGGCTATTATTTGGGCCTGCAGACCACATAGAGGGTTTTGGTGAGCTGTCATGGGCCAGGTCAGCACATCCCTCCCTTTCATTCTACACACAACAACCAGGTCACCAAAACTCCTTGAGCAGCTCCATCCCATCCGCTTGCCCCCCACAGATCCCAGCTAGTCTCCATGTAGGCCCTGGGATTGTGAGGTGGTGAGAGCATGAGGCTGGAACCTGATGCAGAGCCACAATCTGCTCCCCACACATCCCTGCTCACAAAACCAGCACCTGTTGCAGGAGCATGTGGGCAGCAGATCATGGCTCTGCTCTATGCTTAGCCAGGATGGAGCTGTGGGTGGGTGGGGAGCAGCATCTGAGAACAGGGCAGGCAAGCAGGTGACAGCACGGGGCCTGGGGCAGAGTCATGATCTGCTCCCCACATGCCTCTGCAACAGGCGGCAGTTCTGTGGGCAGGGGTGCGTGGGGCACAGATTGGAGTTCTGCCCCAGGCACCAGCCCCACACTGTCATCAACCCCTAATCCCAGGGTCTCTGTGGAGACCAGCTGAGGCCCGCAGGCAGGGCATCTAACTGGATGGACAGGACGGGGCCATGGGTGGGCAGGGAGCTGCGTTTGGGGCCAAGTCTGGGATCTTGGGACAATAGCAGGACCAGGCCTGGGGAAGAGCCAGGATCCACTCCCCACGCCCCTGCCTGCAGAATCCGCACCCGTTTCAGGGCTGTGCAGCAGGGTGGATTTGATTTAAATCAAATCAATTTTAAATTGCTGGTCAGGAAGCCTCCATTTAATCATTGTTTTCTACTAAAAGTGCATTCTTTGATATCCTTTATTCATTTAACTTCTTGAAACTTTGCACTTTTAGAGAAAGGTAAGGGCTTGACTCTGCGCACAAACTTACAGAGGGTAAGAGGGCTGATGGGTGGGTAATCTAGTCTGTTATCTCTCATCTCCATATACTGCTGCTTACAAGAATGTTATCTCTGGAGACTACAAACTCTCCCTATGCCCAAAAACTTACAGTGAACAATTTTTCCAAATATTTAGTTGGTCTAATACAGGGGTAGGCAACATTTTTTGGCCGGAGTGCCGAAAAACGCCACAATGCCTACCTCTGAAGGTACTGGAATGCAAAATAGCCTTGCGTGCCATGCTCGGCATGCGTGCCAGGGGTTACCAACCCCTGGTCTAATAAAAGATATCACATCTACCCAAAGAACCTTGTCTGCCTATGATCTCTGGAGACTCAAATCTATAGTTTGAGAACTGAAACTAAGCATCACAGAGATGCTAAATGGGATCTTGTAGGCTGAGCCCCGAGGCCCATTGGGTAGAGTGGTTTTCTTTAATCTTTACTAATCTATAAAGGAACCTCTGGGAGCCCCATAAGATTGGGCCTCTAATATAGTCCGTGGCCTGTTGTGACTTATTTATAAAACTTCTAAAAAGGTTTCATGAATATATTGCCTCAAATAGTATATAATTGGAAGTTATAATCTCTATTCCATGATGAGATCTTTGAGCTTTAATGTATCTTTATATAAGATTTTTTTAAAAAAAAACAATCTTAACAAAAAAACCCAACTAAATAAAAAAAATCTGATTTGATAAAAACAACTTGTTTTTAATCATTGATTTTTATGCACCTGCTGTGCAGGCAGCAAATCACAGCTCTGCCTGGGCCCACACTGTCACCTAAATCCCCATCCCATCCATCCAGTCATGCATCCTGCCTACACAGGTCCCACTCATGGCAGTGGGTGTGGACTGGATGGATCAGGGTGCCTGGGTAGCAGGGCTGGGTCCAGTGCAGGTGGCAGTCAAAAGGAGCTACCACTGCCAGGAAGTGAGTCCAGCTGCCAAGCCAGCCCAGCCCTGCTGTACGCCACGGGGCAGCAGGACTGGCTGCACACACCATGGCCCGAGCTACTCCCTGCACCTGGGCTGAGCTGGGAGAGACTGAAGGATCCTTGTGGTGGTGTACAAATTCATAAGGGGAGACCAACATGAAGTCGGCGACGATCTGTTCACCAGGGCACCTGCTGGAACAAGAAGGAACAATGGCCATAAGCTACTAGAGACGAGGTTTAGGCTGGACATTAGGAAAATGCTCTTCACGGTCAGGGTTGCCAGAATTTGGAATGGGCTCCCAAGGGAGGCGGTGCTTGCCCCACCCTTGAGGGTCTTCAGGAAGAGACTGGACAGGCACCTGGCTGGGATCACATGACCCAGGGTTGGTGACTGTCTTCTTGCCTGCCAGGGGGTCAGACTAGATGGCCCACTGAGGTCCCTTCTGACTCTATGAATCTATGACCCACCACAAACTGGACAAAATCCTTCAGCGAGTTGAATCCGGCTTGCAGGCCATATTTTGCCCACTCCTGGTCTAGTAAATCAACATCTAGAAAAAGCATTTTGAAAAGCAGAAGAGTGAACTGGGTATGGCAGGAACAGGTATGTGAAGCCTGGATGCAGCCTCTGGCTCTGTCACTGTCCTGAGTGACTTTGGGCAAGTTACTGCCCTCCTTTGTGCATTAAAGTCCATGCATGAAATGGACTTGACCTCCTTTGCAAAAGTGTTTTTTTTTCAGATTTAAAGAGTGAAACAAGGGCAATATATTCATGAGATCCTATCAGAATTTGAAATGGGCCTTTTTCAGTAGGAACTCCTAGTTGTTTGAAGAACGTGATTTATAAAGGACGCGAACTATTCTGACCCCTGATTAGGAACTGCTCACCTGTTCCAGAATGATCTAAGAACTTGCCTAGTCTGGGAGTTAGTGCCCTCGGAGTCCAGAGCCAGAGGGAAAAAATTGTCCACGCCATGAGCGGGATGCTCAGCGCCAGAAATGGAACACAAGCCTCCAGGGCTGCTGGCTTCTTCACTGCTCCAGCCCCAGCAGTCTCGGCTGCCCCAAAATTGAAAAGGGGGCGGGAAAAAGCATTTTGGCTGCACCAAGTTCCACTTCCTCAGAGACATTCAGAGTACCCCGATTCAAGCATGGGCCTAAAATCTGGGGCTCATTGTGGTAGAATCATGACAAATTTAGTCAGGAGCATATCTGCAGTGGGTGAGATGTTGACACATCTAGAGAGAAGAATTTAATGAGGTTTATAGCTGCTTATTGATGCTCATTATTACAGTAGGACATTTTCACTAACCAGAAAGGATACTACAGTGAATGACTGTAAATCTGAGCCAGGTTGTCCTGTAACGGTAGAACTATAATTCTGGTGACTCTTATCAGCTGCATTCAGCTTGCCTTTACCATTTTTTTTAAAGGTAAAACACCTTACCCGTGACTGGAGAACCACAGCTCATGCCTTGAAGTATTCCAGTATACTGGAGCTGAATGAAGACAATAAAAAAGTGAGAAGAAATACTCCAGTTCCAGTGTTTCCCAGTGAGAACCTTCCTACCAAGATGCTGCTTGTGTATGATATCCACTTGATTTCTGAGCTACCAGCTCTGAACAAAGAGCAAGAGAATGGCTGCATGCAAGAAAAGGTTATGGAGCATCTTCTCAAGGCCTTTGTAATATTTGGTGTCATCTCATCTGTTCGTATTCTCAAGCCTGGGAGGGATCTGCCACCTGACATTAAACGATTCAGCAGTCGATACACCCAAGTTGGAACACAGGAATGTGCAATAGTAGAATTTGAAGAAGTTGATGCTGCAATAAAAGCTCATGAGTCCATGTCCATTGAAAAGAATGAAGAAGCTGGCATGAAGGTTGTCTTGATAGGAATGAAGCCACCAAAGAAAAAAGTTTTAAAAGATAAAAACCGTGATGAAGATCCCAACAAGGGTCTTAATAAAATTAAATCCCTGAATAAGAGAGTTGAGGAACTTCAGTATGTTGGTGATGAATCTTCAGCAAACAGTTCTTCAGATCCAGAGAGTAACCCTACATCTCCATTGTCTGGACGCAAGAGTGATGCTATGAGCAAGTTGAGCCCTACCATGTATCAAAACAACCATCTCAGCCCTAATGTGTCACCTCGGTCAAGCCCCTGGAACAGCCCATCCTCACTGCGCAAAGTGTCCAGGAAGTCTCCATTGGCTGAAGAGGGCAAACTCAACCCTACCACTAGTCCTGAAATCCCAAGGAAGTGTGCAGATTATTCTTCAGATAGCAGCATCACTCCTTCTAGTAGCCCCTGGGTGCAAAGGAGAAGGCTAGCTCAAACTGCAACACAGGAAAAAAGTCCAGTAGGTAGCCCTATGCTAGCCCGGAAAATACAAAATGCAGGTGGGCTACCTGTGGGAGTGCTGAGGTTACCTAAAGGTCCTGATGGTACCAAGGGATTCCATAATGGATGTGAAAGGAATAAACCTAAGAAGAAGGAATAAACTTAGAGTGTATTTACATTTATTTTATTTTTTTTAAACCAGTTTCCCAAATCCATTTTTGTTCAAGTCTGGTGAAGACTGTCACTTGAATGACTGAATTAAGTCAGTATTTAATTTTTAAATAATTTGTATTCATTTATAGACTTATCATTTGTATTTTTGTATTTGCACTTAATCTGCATTATTTTTATACTTTTGTTTTTTAGTTTCAAATGCCTGAACATTGGAACATATTACTTTTTTATGCCAGGTACTTAAAACTATTAATGTGACTGCATTCATTGATAAAGATATACTTCTGCACAGACAGCAATGTGTAAACATAATACAGAGTATTTAGTCGTATTTTCCTAAGCTATGGTACTTTACCATTCTGTTCATTTAAGACCTATTGGAGGATTGAAGACTTCCTGTTTTTCTATATTGAAGGGAACTCTAAAAGTCTGTTTTGTTATGTCAGACATTTTGCTACTTGCCAAACCTGTCAAAGACCTGGTTATACATTTTGGTCCCAATATATAATATTTTCCGTGATGTGAATAAAATGCTAAGCATTAAAATGTTTTCATGGGTTTAACTGCAATGTCAAGTGATCAAATGGGAAGGTTCTAAACAGTTTTTGTATAGTCTTTTAGTATGAAATAGTCCTCTTTTTGGAACTTATCAGTATCTGTCTAACTCTGAAGGCTTAGGTCATGCATTACTTGTTCTCCCTGTCTTTTGGAATCAGTTGTGGCTTATTTTAAATGGCAAAACTGCTTCTGCTTTTGAAAAACTGTCAGGCAGCTTTTTGTTGAAAACTGTGCATGGCAATACCTGTGATTTTTATCTTTATTTTTTTTTTGAGGGTGGGGGAGAGCAGGAGGCTAAGGAGAGGGATCAGCCCGCAATCACGTCCGACTTGACAGTAGTGCAGGAGGAGCCCAGGATTAGCTGATTGTTGGCTGGCTCCCAGAACCCACTACGACCAATTCAGGCTCCACTGCAGTTTCTAGAACCAGCCAACAACTTGGTGGTTGGTTGGACCACAGTACAGTCCCTGCCAGCTGACTTTTGGTTGGCAGGGACCACACTGAGGCCAGCCGGAGACCTCAGTGCAGTCCATCGTGTCTCATCTTCATTTTAAAGCACAACAGAAATCAGCCACACAACTATTACACTTTTTGTGTATGTCTGTAATTTTTGTGGCTGGCTTTGTGTTTTGTTGCACATTTAACCCCCTGAATGTGTGGCCAGGTTGTACTTTGATTCAGTTAACTGGTTAATTGCATCTTGCGTGTAATGTCTGCCAGGGGCCTAACACACCAGTAGAATGAAGTAACATTTCTTGAGTTGCACTTGTTTTAGAGCAACTCAACAGAAGGAAAATCACTCCAACTGTCCTTGTGAAGTTTTGTACTTAGTTAAGTGTTTTGGGGGTTTTTGGAAACTCAATTTGTATGGTACAATAAGAGATGCTTTGATTTTTTTTTTTTTTTTAATTTGATTTTTTTTTAAAGAAAAAACTTGTCAAATGCTTCACTAATCTAGACAAAAAAATAAAGCTGCATCTTGTGCACCTAGGTACCTGTGCCGCATGATTGTCTCAAATTTGAGTTCCATCTTTTAAAATGTGACATAACCCCCCACTTCTTTCCTCCTCTTCCCTGCCCCCCCCCCTTTCCTTGACAGGAGTAGCAAATTGGACAAGAAATAGAAAATCTTTTCTGAGCACTGTTGCTGTGACTTCAAGGCTCCACAGGGCATCATAAGGATAGTAGAGCTCAGCACATGCATTACACAGGGAGGGTACCAAGCTCTCTCTTGCTTGAATGATGGGATGGAAAGTAACAGTATTTAAATACACAATCTGTCACTGTCAGAGGACAGATAGCTATGCTACAATGGAGGAAGCCTAGTGTAGGTTACAAAATGCTTTTGATAACCTTCTAAAGAGGATTATGGCAGGGGATTTTTTTTAAATCCTAAAGCCCCACTGATTTGAAAAGAAACTCTAAAAACAGAAGGAAAAAGTGCAAAGTAAACCAAACAATGAAGAGATGAGCAAGCACCACTATACTTCTAGAAATAGATTAGTGATTTGCCAATAATGCAATTGCCTATATTTTTACAGGTGTTCAGACATAACATGTTAAAACAAATGTATTGAAATGTCAGTTATTCTGTTACTTTAAATGACTATTGCAGGATGGTGACACTTAATTTCAGCTAATGATTTTAGCGTTCAGGAAGCAACAATCTTAATTATCAAGTATCTGCCACTAAACCAGTTTTATACTATGTTGCCAGTTACATGAGTAATGTTAGCCTCAGTATTGCCCCCTAATCTAGTAGTACTTAGAGTCAGCAGCAGGTGTCCAGCTACTACTGTAATCTCACTAATTAATATTAGAACTGCATCTGTTTTAATAAAACATCCCCAAGGTATGAGGAAAATGGATGATGCATTAATTTTCCTCGCATCACAAACAGGTGTTTAAAGATGATTAGATACCTTTCAAGTGTATTGCAACTCAAATAACTTAAATCAATGCAACTACAACCAAAGCAGTGGGCCTTGGAAATGAAAGAAGGAAAGGGGATTTGTTTTTACAGAAGAAGAAACCACAGGTATTCTTTTAAATACATTGGAATATATCTTAGCAAAAATCTGAGCTGGAATAAAGACCTTGAAAATGGAAATGTTAGAGCAAAACAAGCTTTGAGTGGAGTTTTATCTTTCTACAATATGGTGGGCCGATGAGTGTTTCTGGAAGCACCATGGGGCTATAGATCCATTGTGCTGTACAGAGCAGAACTCTGGGGTGCTGACCCTATTGTCTACCTGACAACTGAAAAGATTTCTAATTACTTTTTAATAGAGGTGCACCAGTACATCTGCCCATATCGTATTGGCACCAATAAAAGGAAAATTGACATTATCACCAATCGTCTTTTTTTGACTGATGTGGCCAATAATGTCACTGATAAAGGCCACGTGCATGTGGGGCCAGGAGTACAGCCTGGTAACTTGGGACTGTAGTGTCTGGCCAGTAAGTCTGTGCAGTGGGGTAAAGGGGGCAGGATCAAGGCCCCCACACTGAGGGAGGGAGTGGGGCTGGGGCAGGTGCAGGTGCTACCCAGCCGGGACTAAGCCAGCAGCTCGTCTGGGGAGGGGAGTAGAGTGGCTCCAGGCACTGCGTGCACTCGTGAGGAAGGACAGAGGGCATGTTCCCCCTGGATTTTTGCACGGGGCAAGGACGGGCTGCAGCTGAGGGATCAGGGCCAGGGGCTGCACCGAGCTCTTCCCAGCACCTGTGCAGCAGCAGCACTGGGAGAGGGGCTGTGGGGGAGGCTATAGTCACCCCAAAATTGACCAGTCTCCCCTCCACCGCCACTGCCACCTCCCCCACCCACCCCAGACCAAGCACAACCACCAGGAAGAGTACAGTGTAGCTCCTGGCCCCAACCCCATACAGCAGCAGCCCAGCCTCACCCTCATGCACAGATCCAGGGGGCACATGCCATCTACCCCCTCCTCCCCACACCCCCCAGCTGAGCTGTCCCATGCTGTCCCATGCCCCGCCCTGCCCCAGCTAGGCAGCACCGGCCCCAGCCACAGTCCCACTCACTCACTCACTGCAGGACCTCCTTCTGCACACACCCCTTCCCCCCAACAGGATTACTGGCTGGATGCTGCTCTCCAAACTGCCAGGCAGCATATCGGCAATCAGATCAGTATCAGCCAGTATGGCTGCTCAATAATCGGCCATCAGTATCAGCCCAAAAAATTGTATTGGTGCACCCCACTTTTTAAGGTAGCTTTTATCTACCTAATTCTACAACAGGGGGGATCATGCTGAAATCAGACTGATAAATATGAGCACTTTATCCCAAGTAAGAACCCTAAATTACTGGATGAAAGAGAAGTCTTTTACACCTACCAGATACCCCAAGGAGTGCATTTAAGAAGCCTCTGCCAAATAAATCCTGGTTTGGATGGCTAAAGAAAATCTATTCTCTCCTCCAGATAAATGGCCTGAGCACTGTACTAACTGACTCAATATTTCTGTTGCATTTGAAACATGACATAAATTTAAGAATTAAGGATGCCAGTATGCAAACAGACATGCTGGCAGTGAGACTGTTTCAAATTTCCCTTTTAAGATTCATTAAACATTCCTTTGACCCAGAAACTTATCTGTCTGTGGTGCAAAGCTTCAGACAGTGGGAGGCCATCACTAGATTGAGATTTATGCTAAAGAAATCTACAGTTGTCATGGGCAGGTGGTGTTGGAGTCTATATTCAGTAGAATATGCTCTTGTGGGAAGAATGAGATTGATGACTTAAATAATGATTTGTGGTCTTGTATGTTCTCTGAAGAAATAAGAGGGAAATTAACTCCAATGGAAAAAACTAAATCCTGGGCTAATGAGGAAAAGATCTGGCTTTCTTCAGAACTTGCCTAGGTGTATTTGCACTACTTTCACAAAGAATAAGGGCCAAAATCAAATGGAATTTTCCTGTTCTGTTTTATTGTGCATTGCTTCATTTTACCTCCTTTTTTTTAGCTCATTATTATGTTCTATGTTAGTTTTGTGTAAACTGGTATAATGGGTAATCTTATTGTATGATTTTAGTAAAAATTATGATTTGTATAAATGTTATTTCATTGTGTGTGTGTTCATTTTATTATACTGTTTCAGCAAAAACTGTCAACTACTATTAGTTTCATAGTATGATTAGTGTCAACAGCATGAATCTATGCGATCCTGAGGCTAACATTAAGTGTCTAATAACCTAAATAAAGTAAGCCTGGAACCCAGAGAAACAGGTACAGAATTAACTAATTTGAAAAATACTTTCTCGTGATAGGCACTGGCAATAGAAAATTGAAGATAAAACTATGTATATTAAAATTTAAAAATTAGAGTTGCCAGTGAGCTGTCTCCCAAATAGTTAATTTCCTTAAGTAAAAACAGAGCAAGAATAAGTTTATCATTTTGCTGCACTATCCATAAAAACCCATGAAGCAATCAAATATTCCTTGATTTCTGGGTTTCTAGTCTCTTTTCAAGGCAGCTTTTAGAAAGATAATATATCAGATTTTGATTTTGATGCTTCATACCTCATAGCATCATAGATTCCAAGATAGGCACATTATGAAGTCATTACTTGAAGCCAGTTGATTAGAAAGTATGTGGCACCTAGTCTGACCCAACACATGGCCTAATCACATCCTATCTACTACAATTATTTTCTCCATTTTTAGAGGCCAGTTTTAACTACTACACAAATAGGCTTTTCCGATCATACAATGAAATCAAATGTGTATGCTGCTGATCAAGTGAGTGTGCTCCTCTTAAAAATACAAATATTTAGAAATGACCTGGGAGCTAATTGATCAGCCCCTGACTTTGTTGAAGTACCATATTTACTCAAATATAAAATGATCCTGATTATAAGACAACCCCCAATAATTGGATTCTATATATGGAACATTTATAAATCTGTTATAATTTTCAGGGTATAAAATTAATTATTGGAGGTTTTTCTTGCATTTCTTCCCCTCCTCCCCCTTCTCCCCTGCTTCAACAGGGAAAATAAATCTGGGAGGTCAAGTGGCTCCTTACCCTCTGACCCACCCCCCACCCCATGTCTTCTTCCTTCTTGCAATACAGCTGTAGCTCACTTCCATTGTGACACAATCCTTGACTGGGAGGTTCATGCATCTGCACATGAGCAGGTTTCTGGTCTTCCACGAGGGTGTTCCTGAAGCAGGGTGTTACAGTCCCTTGCTGTGGGGTCAAGTGGCTGAACAGCACTGCCTCTCTTGTCAGAACCTTGACCCCTGTCACCATCTAAAGGAGTTCTCTTACTCTCTCCCACTCTTCCTTGCATACTGGCAGCTCCAAAGAAAGTGGTCAATTGTTTTCTCCTTCCACTGGCAGGTTTGCTTGGGACAGTTCAATCGACTTCTTTGCCCCTCTCTCTCCACGCCCACACAGGGAGTGCCTGGTGGGCTATGTGCCAATTCAAATCTCTGTGCTCCTTCTGGAGGTCTGTATGGATGGTTTGCTCCCACACAACCTGGCAGCTCTCATAGTGTAGTACATCCACAGGTGACAGTCTATCCCTTGTCCTTACCACCTCCTGCATCTTGCAGTGGTTTGTCAGTGTTACCAGGGCTTCATTGTGTAGTTCGTATCTGTTCCAGAAGTGCTTCAGAACCCTGTAGAACCACACTGGTTCCCAGGTCCACAGGTGTGTGTCAGCATTACAGCAAGATCCCTGCACAGTATCTCATAAATCAGGCCGTTGCAGAGCCTGCCCCGGTTACCAGTTTGCAGATCTGGCTCATGTATTTAGCCCAAAGGAACAGCAGAATGTCCGGCATTCCTCAGCCACTGGTCGTCTTCTTCTGGTACACTGTGGTCCTTGCTACTTTCTCCCATCTGGAGCCCCAGAAGAAGACATGCATGGCCCTCTGGACTCTGT